AAAACAGGAATGGGCATGGTGGTGCACACCTGTAATCTCAACACTCTGAGAAGCTGAGACAGAAGGATCCCAAGTTTAACCACCCTAGGCAATTTAGTAACTTAGCAAGACCCTGTCTCAAAATTTAAAAATTAAAAAAAAAGAAAAAGTATAAAGAAAGGATGAATAAAAACTAAAGATACAGAATTTTTAAAATATTTTAAAATAAAAAATAGGACTAGAGATGAAGGCTCTGATTCATTCAATCCCTAGTACTTGAAAAAAAAACTTTAAAAAAATAAAATTAAAATTAAACAATTTTTTAAAATAAATAAACCGAGCCGGAGATTTAGCTCAGTGGTTCAGGAGACTGCCTCACAAGTGCAAGGACCTGAGTTCGATCCCCAGTACCAAAAATAAATAAATAAAATAAACCACTTGGACTAGGAAGTTGCCGCCTCAGCACAATCTAGACATTTGTTTGTTGGTTCTCTCCTTAGCGAGTTTAAAATCTAGTCCTCATCTTGGAAAGTTCAGAGTACGTAAAGTTGCAGTGTGATGGGTTACAGAGACCGTGTGTGTAGAACCACTGAGCTAAATCCCCGGACCACAAAGAGCATTTTTAATACTGTTCCTGTTGAGAAATACCCAGTATGGCCAGGGATGCTGCTCAGTGGCAGAGCTCTTTCCTTTCATGCTGGAGGCCCTGGGTTCCATCGTCAGCACCACAGAAAAACGTGATCAACAATGCAGCAGACACAATCTTCCGGAAGATCAAGCCCGTGGCTTCACAGGACTGGCAGCTTTGTCTTTCTCTTCTACATCCTCCCAGCACACCAGGCAGATGCCCCATGAGGACCACAACTGTAGCTGACTGAGTGCCCAGAGGAGACAAGACACCAAGACAAGTGGGAGCGATTCCAAAAAACGCACTTTTCCTTGTGCTTCACATCTGTGTCAAAATGTCCAGCTCCACCTCAGCTGTGGGTCCCACAAGCAGCACCACACCATCCAAGCATCCCGGCTTCCAGTGGGGACTGCCGAGGGCACAGAGCTGGTGTGGTGGTGCCCGCCTGTGATCGTAGCACAAGGGAGGCTGAAGCAGGAAGATAGCAAGTTACAGGCAGGCCATCCTGGGCAATGTAATGAGATGCTGTCGCCAGGAAGAAAGCACTTTCATGCACACACTTGTGAGACCTCTGTCACTGGCTGAAATGTCACTGCTCTGTGTGGCTGCTGTCGATCAGGTTCAAGCACTGACAGAATGCTTATGTTCAAAGCTATGGAAAGTAGTGGATTCTCCCAGCACCTGACCCCGGGGCTTTAACACCAGTGAGAGAAACAGAAATAGTAGTGACATGGCAAATTGAATTCTCGGTCTCACTTCTTCAATCCACTTCTTCAAGTCCACCCCAGGGTCATGGAAATTTGATCTTTTTTCTTTCTTTGTTTCCTTTGTTTCTTGGCTTTTGTTCTTGTTTTTGTTTTTTTGAGACAAGGTCTCACTATGTAGTTCAGGCTGTGCTTGATCACACTATATTGTCCAGGCTGACCTCGGATTTGCAGCAATCCTCCTGTCTCAGCCTCCTGAGTGCTAGGATTACAGGTGTGCGCCACCACGTCCAGCCTACTTCAGCTTTGAAACACCTGCAAGCAACAACCAGGCTGGTGACGCTAAGCAAGTGCTACCTTTGGAGCTCCCAGAGCAGGGAGCACCCCTCTCACTATAATGTTTCAAGCTTTCTGGTGTTTTCCATTTATTTACATGCATTCATGTACCTCCTCGGTCCAGTTTTGTTTTTTTTTTTCCACCTGGGTATGGGTTTTATCTGATTCTTCTGAGTCTGATTACTCAGTATACTCTGTTTTCGAGTCCCTCTCACTGAGGACTTTTTGTTCATCTTGGGGTTGTAGTTTGCATCTGACTCAATCCCTGTCACATTACTCTGTACACCCCAGGAAGTGATCAGCCTCCTCTTCCACCCCAATGGGACAGGTTTTCTCCTGGGCCCCAAAAGCTTACCACAGTCCCATAGCAAGGCCTACTTCCAGAATCATCCTGAATGCCAACAGGTTCTGTTGTGCTGGCAGGGAGAGGGGAGCCCTCTGGGATGCAGGAGGGCCAGTTCCCTCTCTGAGCTGAACTCTCATCTGGTGTCACCAGTGGTCTCCAGATTCCAGCAGCTCAGGCCCCTCTCAGGCCTGCAGGCAAAGGAGACAGCAACTCTGTCATCTGCAGTCTCTTCGTGGCTGCCAGAAATGTTGCCAAAGACTCTCCGAGACAAGAGTGACCAATGGGAAACAGAAGGATTTTATTTTAAGCGAACACCAGCTCACTAGACTAATGTCCAAAGGAAGAGCAAAGAACAAAGGAGAAGCTCGTTTTTATACATTTGGTCCAAAGGGTTGGTCTTTCTGGTGATGTCAAGTGAGCTTGTAGAAGCAGGACAAAGGCAGACAATTTTCTAATTTATCCCTGAAAGAAGACAGAGCTTTACCAATCATATGAGAACACGGTGTTGTAAACTTTGTTTGTAGAACATAGTTGCCAGTTATATCTGTACCAGCACAGAGTTACAGCTTCAGGAGGGAGGGGAGTGATGAGGGAGGACTGCCCAAGGTTGGGAAGAACTTGTTTCTGTTAAAGTCCCACTTCAATCCCAGTGTTCTGGGAGGCTAAGGCAAGAGGATTGCAAGTTCCAACCCAACCTGTGCAATTTAAGTGATTTGGTGAGACCCTGCCTCAATATAAAAAAATATTAAAAAGGACTGGGAATGTAGCTCAGTAGGAGTACCCTGGATTAAACCCCAGTACACCAGAAACAAATTTTAAATTAAAAATTTTAAAAAGCCAGCCACCATTGCTCACAGGGAGGTACCCTGGGCCCCGATCCACCGCGGGAAGGAGAGCCACGCCTGCTCCTGACCCAGCAGCCATCGCTCAAGTGCCAGGAAGGTAGCTGCATAAGTCCCTCCTCCCACTCCCCTGGCACTCTCAGACCTCCTGACTGTGCCAGTCTTTGGACCCACTCTGCAGAGGCAGAGGTGGTCATCAAGGGTATTTTTCTGAGTTTCCAACTGTGAACATCTTTAAAGAAAGGGTGTGGGAAACCTGTAATAGAACGTTGTGGAGTTCAACCATTCAGAAGGATGGGGAACTCAATCTGGGCCTTGCAGCCTGAGGTCAATCAGCGTCATGGGGTTCAGCCATCAGCTAACTGAGATCAGGGGTCTTGCATCCTCGCTCTGTCTGAGCCATTAAATGGTAAATACACTATATCGAAATTTTATTCACTGCAGACATGTTCTGGACTGCTTCTTGATTTCAATTTAATTCAAATGATTTAAGGGTGATAGACTAGTGACTACCACAGGTGGTCAGTGTCCAAGTTGTTCTTGATCTTAATGTGTTGCTGATTGTATCAGTTGGGATAAAGCATTGCCGTTGATTTGATGAGCTGTTTTCTCTGATGTTATGAAGATGAGAATGCCTGTGGGTCATTGGAGACACAGAAGCTAGGGCACAACTATATCAGGAAGATTTGGGTGATAATCCAGAGATTAAACCAAGGACAGTCCGACAACAAAAATTAAAATGAGAAAACACTTAAGCAAGACACAAGGACAGACTTCCAGTT